TTATTCTACGTGTTTTGTTCTTTTGTGGTTGGGAGCTTTGAACAGTAATTTTACATTTTTATTCATTTATAAAATATGTACTAAAATTAATTTCCCTCTATGTACTGCTTTAGTTCAATCTTACAATTTCTGATATTTTTAAGACATTGAGTCCTGAATTTTCCTAATTCTCTTATAATTACTATTGATCCATGGATTTTTATAAGCATATATTTTTTCAATTTTTATTAAGAAAAATTTCAAATACACAGAAAAATTAAGACCAGGATAATGTCTACCCACAACTTAACATCAACAAATGTTAACATTTTGCTTCATATGTTTTTTCCAAAGTGAATGGTAGACACTGTGACACTTCCACCCTAAGTATTTCAGCATGTGTCTTATAAAAATAAGGATCACTTCCCTTATAACCATAATATCATTTTTACCCCAGCAAAATGAATTCAAGGCCAGCATTGTTTAAATTTCTCTAATTGTGCCTCACATGTCTTTTATAGCTATTTAGTTTGCACAGAGACCCAATCCCATTAGTTACATTGTTATGTCTCTTTTAATCTATGGTAGTCCTGTACTTTTTTACACCCATAGACACTGACCTTTTAAAGAGCTCTAGAACATTCTATATTCTGTTCATGCCTCGTGGTTTCCTTGTAGTGTCATTTATCTGTTCCTCTACTTTATTTACAATAAGCTGGAAATTATGGCAAGGCATTGCTTAGACACAGGTTAAATTTTTTTTTGCAAAAATATTTCATAGGTATGCTATGTACTTTTCACATAGCACCACATAAGGAGGAAAATGTTAGGTGACCGCTCTCTTGTATAAGATAGCTTTTTTCCCTTTGGAATTCACAAAAAATCAAGAAGTGATATTTGTTGTTTGAATATGCTACTTTACATTGAACTTTTATATAAGTAATGGCTTCAGCATCTATTAGTGACCCTTTTTTTGGATCAGTTATTTCACTGGGGATACAAAATGGTGATATTTCTGAGGTAGCTTCCCTTCTCAGATGGGAAAGCTCTATAATCTCCTTATTACAAAATCAGAGTAAATTCTTTATCTTTTTAAAAATGTTTCTATTAAGGTTTAATTTACATACAATAAAATTCAACAATTTTAGAGTGTACAATTTGATTTCGACAAAATATAGAGTTTTGTAACCACCACCATGATAGAGAATATTTCTCACATGGGACAAAGAATCCTGCTTCCCTTGTGACTCTTTGCAGTCAATCCCTTCTCCATCCCTAGCTCCATGCAGCCACTGATCTGCTTTTTGTCTCTAGAGGTTTGTTTGTTTGTTTTTTGAGACAGGGTCTCTCTCTGTTGCCCTGGCTAGAGTGCAGTGGCATGATCATAGCTCACTGAAACCTCAAACTCTTGGGCTCAAGTGATCCTCCTGCCTCAGCCTCCTGCGTAGCTGCGACTACAGGTGCACACCACCACATCCAGCTAATTTTTCTATTTTTTTGTAGAGATGGGGGTTTTGCTTTTGCTGAGACTGGTCTAGAACTACTGGCCTCAAGCAATCCTCCCACCTCAGCACTCCCAAAGTGCTAGGATTACAGGCATGAGCCACTGGGCCTGGCCATCTCTAGAGTTTTTAAGAATCAAATGGAATCATACAAAAGCCAGTCAGAAAATAAGACATTCTTCCACTAAGGATAATGCTTTTGAGATCCATGCATGTGGTTTACTCCATCAATAGTTGATTCCTTTTTATTGCTGAATAGTATTTCATGGTATAGATGGATGTACTACAGGTTGTTTATCTGTTTACAAGTTGACGAAAATTTGGGTTGTTTCCAGTTTGGGGATATTATGAATAAAGCTGCTATTAATATTTATGTGTGAGTCTTTAGGTCAACACATGTTTTTTACTTCTTTTGGGTAAATACCTAAAAATGGGATTCCTGGATCACCTTTTACGTGTTTAACTTTACAAGAAACTACCAACTGGTTTTCCCAATTTGCTGTACCATTCTACATTCCCACCTGTAATGTATGAGAATTTCAGTTGCTCTACATTCTTGCAAACACTTCATTTTGTCAATCTTTTAAATTTTGTCAATTCTAGTGGATGTGAGTAAATCTCATTGTGATTTTATTAATAATTTGTATTTATCCAGTGACTAATGCTGTTGAGCATCTTTTCATGCACTTATGTGCCATTTTTATATCTTCTTGATGAGTGTTTAAATATTTTACTTATTTAATTGGATTGTTGTCTTAAGTTGTAAGATTTCATACAGAGTTTTTAACTTTCCATATATGTTATAGTTTTGTTACTAATTTTAATTTTATTGAACATGGTCTGAGAAAAGTTCTATAGGAGACTTGATTGTCTGTGCTAGTAGCCTCTTGTCTACTGACAATGCTTAATAAAAAGACAACATATAATGTTTTTCACGTCCATTTTCTCTCAGAAATCTTATCCTACACCAGTATTTCTTGAATTAATAACAGGAGACCCCTGCAACAACATCCATGAAATACTCTGCAGCACAAGGCATTTAATCTTTTCATTTATTCATTATTGGATTCAGTACACATGGGAGACCTGCCATGTGCCTGATTCCTAGCAATGTCCTGGGATACCATGAATGTTGCGCTGTAAACAGACAATAGAAAATTAAGTTATCCAGTAAGCCTGATAAACTCTCTCATAGTTTTTCTATATGCCCTTTGGGGTTTTCTATAGAGACAACTGTATTAGGAGAATTATGACTAGCAGGATCCCTACCCCTCTTCTTGAAATATTGTTTTTACTAGATTCCCGAAGGGGCAATGCTATCAAGGTCTGCTATCTCCCTCACTGGTTGCCACTCTGGTTGGTCTCCTTTGCTGGTTATTATTCATCTTCTTGACTGTTTAAAGTTGGAGTGCCTTGGGATTTAATCCTCAAACATCTCCTTTAACTGTACTCACAGCCCTGATGTTCTACTGATCTGATGGACTTAATTTAACCATCTACAGTGTATACAACTCCCAAACTTACATTTCCACCTTGAATTTGTACTCTGAATGCTATACTTGAATATCTGATTGTCTCTTCAATATTTGGTTGGCAAACATTAACAATAACAACCACCAACACAAACCCCACTAACATAAGCTCCACCACCACAAACATTTGTGTGGTACATATCAAAAGCTGGGAACTATTCTAAACACCTTACATAAATTAACTATTTTAAAAATTTAACTTACTAGGCATCTCAATCATAACATATCCAAAACTGAACTGATTTTTCCACCAAAATTTGCTCCACCCATAGTCTTCCTTGTTTCAATTAACAGCAACTCCGTTCTTCTAGTTGGTAAGGCCAAATGCTTGGAGTTATTCTTTACTTCTTCCTTTCTCTCAAACCACCCATGCTGAGCAAATACTGTTGGCTCCAAATTCGAAACAATCCCAGATTGCCCCCAATTCTCATTATCTATCTTGCTATGGCCTGTCTAAGCCATCATGTCTCACCTAGATTCTTACAGTATTCTAATAACGGATTTTCCTGCTTCCTTCTCTGCTCCTGTAATTAATTCTCAACATGGCAGCTGGAGTGATCCATTAAACAAAAGTCAGATGATCATGTCACCGCCTCTGTTTATGCTTTCCTCTATAACTTTGAGTGAAACCCAGGTCCTTAAATTGGCCTGTTAGGTCCCACCCAATGATCTGTCTTCCAAACCACCCTCATTAGCCCTCTCCCCTCAGTATGTTCCATCCCTGTGGCCCCAATAATGTTCCTAGACCTTGCCAGGCACAATCATACCTAAGGGCCACTTGCAGCTGCTCTTCCCACTTCTTGGGACGATCTTTCCAGACATTCGCATGGCACACCTGCTCCCTCAGCTCCTCAGCATTCTCAGTGAGGGCTTCACTGAGCACTCTATTTAAACTTGTATACCACCTAGCCCACAAACTTTATTTTTCTCCATTGCACTGATTACCTTCTAATGGAGACTATAATTTACTTAGGTATTTTTTCTAATGTCTGTCTTCCCCTCCAGACCTTGCTCCACAAGGTCAAACATTTTTGTCTGATTTTTCACTCATATATTCCAGCACTGACATATAGTAATTGCTCAATAAGCAATTAAGAAAACTGGACAGGATATATTTTGAAGTTAGAACCAAGGACTTGATAAACTGGAGGTGGGCAGTCAATTTAGACTATCACTTAGCCCTGAAGCAATTCAAACCACCATGGGAAGATAACACAGCAGAACTTATAAATTTCTTGTGCAGGATGGTCTGAAGCCCAGCGGCTGACTCGCAGCCCAACTCTTCTCTTCCTGGACAACACTAGTTTCTTGGACACCATTAATTAAATTAGTCACCAGCATAATACCTCATTCTGGTGGAGAGGACCCTTTTTTTTTTTTTTTTCAAAATATCAGCTTTATTACTAATGAAATTGGCTGGAAAGCATGGCTTAGGTATGTAGACACAAGGATTTTCCTGGATCATTATAATTAGGTTCAGTTTGAGTGCTAGAAAACTCACAATAACAGTGGCTTAAACAAGGTAAAGACTTTCTCATTGAAAAGTTCAGATTTGTCAGATCACGACCAGTAGAATGTTCTACAGTACCAGACACCTAAACTCCTTTCTATCTTGTTGATTTGTTATGCATGGCTTCCTTTCTTAGAGTCATCTTGGGGTCTGGGATGGCTACTCCAGCTCTGGTCATAACGTATACATTCCAGCCAACAGGACGGAAGAGGAGGAGAAGGGTGGAAATCTCCATTTAAGGATACATCATTTTTGCTTATATTCCATTAGCTGGAACAAAGTCACTCAGCCATATGTAACTAGAGAAGTGAGTATTCTGGGTAGCATAGTACCCAGGTAAAATCGAGAATTTTATTACAGAAGGAGAGAAAGAATATTGATGGACAACTTGTATTCTCTGCCACATTCCTGACTTAAACTTATGCAACCAGAGGCAAAGCCAGACAACCACCAGCGTTCCTTATAAAGACGGGCAAGCTGCTTGCCACAGAGCAGACTTGCCTCAAGGGTAAGTTGCTTGGAAGAGGGGAATGCATAAGACGCTGAGCCACACATGCTTGGTTCTCTCATTCCCACCCAATGGCCTCTCTTAGGGGTTGGGCAGTTTCCTTCCTAATTGATGTTTGGCTTTTCTAAGGGGCAGTACAGCGAACTGTCATAAGGTAGGAAAGCAGTACACGATTTGGCACCACAGTAACAAGGTTTTCTTAGTTTTCCGTTATCCAGCCTTTCTTTGTCTTCGCTGTCCATTAGATTAAGAAACCTTCCTGAATAGTCATAAGAGAGTTCCTCTTCTGGCAAAATGTCTTTGGCTGCAAAGAGTGCCAACCTAGGTACCATTGAGTCAATCCGGACAGGAATCATCAGTAGGTTTGGCTCACAAGAATGATTAAGGAATCTTCCAATATTTCCTAAACAGGTAGGGTCAACAAAAGTTTCCATTATCTGCCCATTATAAATATGTTCCCTGATGGCTATTATGTAATTTGAGTCATATATTGTTTGCAAGTGAATTCTTCTCTGTACTTCAGAGAATCCTAAAACTTCGCCAGCATATTCACAGACAAATCTTCCTTTTGGTATAAATTCCCAGGTACGAAGTCCCCAACCTTTTTTATCTGTCTTGAACACTTGGAGGTGGAACTGCAGACCCCTCTGGACCACTCTGTTTCTGCAGTGGTCACCACACTGGCACAGGACATTGCATTCAAAAACAGGCTTGGCATACTTTGCTTCCGATCCTATATCTCTAAGGCATGAATTATCATCATAATTTTCCTCAGAGTGGAGACAGGAGCAAGTGCCAGGGAGGCAAGGAGTTTTGACACAAATGCATCCAGGAAAGGTTATTTGAGTGGGATCAATGTCTGCTCCGGGTCCACCTACATGATCAGGTGTGTAAGGGCCGGCGCGGTGGCTCACGCCTGTAATCCTAGCTCTCTGGGAGGCCGAGGCGGGTGGATTATTTGAGCTCAGGAGTTCCAAACCAGCCTGAGCAAGAGCGAGACCCCGTCTCTACTGGAAGGGCCCGGGCCCGGCCCCCGGCGGCCACGCGCTCACAGGCAGGTTTTCCAGGCCGTGTGCGATATCCAGCTGCTGTGGCGGAACCGCAGGCTCCTCTTCAAACGCTGCCATCCGGAAAGGCCGCGTCTTCTCCAGGGCTTCCACGAACATTCACGCGCCTCACGCCGCACCCACTACCCTGACAGGCTCGAGCTCGCCGAGAGGACCCTTTTTGAAATATTTATTTCTTGGTACCATGTTAATCAATCTTAGCAAAATTATTTAATACTGACAGATTAAACATTAAACAAATTAACTGTGAAAAATTCTCAAGTTTTAGATATTTATGAAAATATTTAAAATCTGACCAGTAATTGTCCTTGACTTATATTAACATTATTTACTTACTGGTGAAAGTAACACTTGAACCCCACTTTACCTCACCTATAGAGTCGCTGTGATGGATACCATTTTAATTCTGACTTGTAAATCAAAATTTGAAACCATCAGTATTCAGAGAGCCCATAGCTGAACAGTGCTGTTGTAAGCACCACTGGGCTCTAAAATAAGTGGAAGACAGAGTCTCTGCCTAGATAAGTGGGTGCTTAATGTGGCTTGCACACGTTTTTCAAGTATAGCATAAAGAAAAGAATGATTTGAGCACTAATTTAAAACTCTATTCAATTTTCACAGTAAAGTATATTTATTTTTGCCTAGCACTTATGCTTATCTGAATAAGTGGCTTAAAAATTTTCAACTTTCCCACTGGTGATTTTTTTATCCAACAAATTATTTCCCCAACAAATGCTGTCATTCAAGGTAATTGAACATTTCCTAGCACTTGAGAAGAATGTACAAAACTAGGCATAATTCCCTTGGTTGTGTTCTTTCATGCTTTAAGACTTACGTGCCTTTAGCACTACTGTTATTTTTATTATACTTCAAAAAACCACCCCAATTTTTGAGATAATCCTTGTGAGTACAAATACATGTGGTTATATTAAAGAAGCATTTTGAAATAGTTCAAAGTATATTAATAAAGGAGCACCTCACTTCATCTGCAGAAGCAGCTAATTCAGTTTGGAAAAATACCAAGTTTAGAAGTAATTTTCTAATAAAATAGCATTTTTTTGAAAATAGCATTTTCACGAGAAACATGGACAAAAATTTATGAGAATTCTTTAAACTCAAAATGGGGCTAAACTGAGTTCAGCATTTTCTTGCCCAAACCAGATTTCCTTTTATCTCCCCAAATGCCAACAGGAGGCAAAAGGCCAGGCTGTTTGGCCAATTACACGCCCTTTCGCCCTCCCTAAGCTTCACTTCCAAACGTACTTGGGAACCAACTTCTGACTCCAGACAAACGGCTGTTAGTTCCGGCTCTTACCTGCCAATTATAATACTTTGGCTATCTGTGCCAGTCTCTGGGCCAGCCCCATGATAAGATTAAGGGACCTGTTTGTAGTTCATTAGCAGAAATTCGTTCCACCCAGGCAGAGTTGGGGTTGGGGTTGGGATGGGGGTGGAGGAGGGAGTCAGGGGCCTCCTGGAATGGATTTTTTTTTCCTTACTAGGAACTGGGAAATGAAAGCACTATTTCCCCTTCTGGATCCCTGCTTCTCCTTTCAGTTCCTCCGTTAGGGGCAGACAATAGACGCCTCCAGGCCCCTCTCCGGGCGCCGGGTCCCCATCGTCCCCTCACCCCCGCCTCCCGTCCCCTCCCCGCCCCTCACCCTCCGGCTTCTCCAACTCCGGCTCCAGGCGGAGATTTGTCAGAACCGTTCGGTTGAGACTGATTATGATTGCAGCAGATGGGCTGGATTTGACAGCGCCGATCCTAAGCAGCTTCTGATGGGGGGGCCCGCGGAGGGGCGGGGAGGGGGAGGAGGTGGGGGGGCGGAATCTATGGGCCCGAGCTTCTCGTAGGAGCGCACGCCGAGCAGCCCGCCCGGCGCGCTCCGGGGCAGCTCTTTAACGCGCGCCTCCAGGAGGAAAGTGGCACAGCCCACCCGAGGGGCCTCTCTGAGCGCAAGTGAAACATCCCGTGGCTGAGAGGGCGCCGGGACACCGGGTGGCAAGCGCGGGGGGGACCGGCGGCGGAACACAACAAAGCGGAGGAGCGCGAGGTGCCCGGGCTGCGGCGCGCGCGTGGCCCAGGCTACCTCCGCGCTCTGGACATGGCAAGTTTGTCAACTCCCGGCTCTGCAGCCAGCGCCTTGCTGCCTCCGAAGTGACGGCACTGCAGGGTCTGCCCCTGGGGGGCAGCGCCCACCCCGGCCCCGGCCCGCAGCAGAATGCTCCACCGCAGGCCAGGTAAGGAGACGACGCCCGCTCCCCACCCAGGCGCGGCCCGTCGGCCACTCTGGCCCCAGCCTTTCGCCCTCGGGCTTCCACTAGTCCGTGCAGACTGTGTACTTCCGCGCCTCCCTCTGTCTCCTCAGTCCATCTCTGCCCTCTATGGCCCTTCCCTCACGGTTGGCCTTCCTTTTCCCCCCTTACCAGAGCCCAACGGCAGGGGGAGAAGTTTTGGGAGGTGGCGCGACGTTAAGGGCTCTCTCTTCCCTGAAAGCCTGCGACCGGACACCTGAGGCGGTATGGTGGGTGGAAGCCGGGTGTGTGTGTGTGTGCGCGCATCCTCCGCCCTGCTCCCCGGCAGCCCCTGCCCCGCACAGCACGCGCGCACACGCCTCCTTTCCACCTGTGGGGCCTCGCTTTTGTGGTGGAAGCCCAAATGAAAACACGCACACGTGCAGACACTCTTCCGCGTTGGCATTTTCGAGGGACTCCTAAAGGGTGGGGCGTGGAGGCGCGGCAGGGGAGGGGTACATCTTGGGTGCAGCGGCCCACCCAAGGGCGGGGCCAGCACCTCTCCTGTCCCTTGGCCTTCACTCCAGTGGTTAGGAGCCAGTGGAGTTAGGCGCCTCCAAGGAGGCCAGGAGGCTGTTGAGGTTGGCCTGGGCATTGCTGTGCCACTGGGAACTCCCCTTCCAGCCCCGTAAGGTCAGTGGCCTGGGCCACTCTCTGTCCTGGCCCCAGCAGGGCGCGCCTGCCCCCACCTAGCACGACCAGCGGCTTCACCCCACAAAGCTCGCTCGTGTTGCCCAGCCCCGGGCCTCTCACTGAGGTGGCCCCTCCTTAGCTGCCACCTCCTGCCCCGCTCACCACGAGCGTGTGCCCTGTTGCTACTGGCAACTGCCTGTGCTGAAAGCTCAGCCCCCTAAACTGGCTTAATGCTGATTGATGGGCAGAAATGCGATATTTTCTGGAGCTGAGCGGGGTGCTGGTGCAGGGCCCTCCCTGCCGCGGAGTCCTGCAGACCTCCTGGGGTGTTGGGCCTGTCGTCCTTCCCTTCTCTAGGCCCCACCCTACCCCTTAGAGAAAAGGGGCTGTCAAGATATTGTCATCTCGGGTTAAGTACAGAGCCAGCAAGTCAGCCTTTGCTTTCCTGCTGAGTAACAGGCAGCCACCCTGGAATTTCTCTTTTCAACCTTGAGGGTTCTGTTGAGACTCATGAATGAGGTTGCTGTTGCTAGCCACTAACACCTCCTGTTTTATTTTCATGCCAACCTCCTGGTACACCCCTCCCCCATATATAGGTACCTAAAATAGACTACCTCTCTAGTAACCAGAACTGTTTCTACAAATGCTCATAAAAGCATTTTTCAGAAATAAGTAATTTCATATTGGTACTCCTTCCTTGGTCACTTCTCTTCCTACTCCATGCCTCCTCCCTCCTCAGGCATGGAGTTGATCATTTCCACCCTTAGGAAGACACAGTCCAGTTGTAAAAAGTCTGTACTTATAATGCTCTTTACTTGGGGTAACCGTTGCCTATTTTATGCTTTTCATTTTAACGCCCTCAAACTGCAGCACCACTTTCCCTTTCTGGGTTGGCAGCCTCCTTACCTAAGCCATTCTGGATTAATACGGATTTTCTGGACTAACATAAATTCCTGTGCCAGTCTGTCCCCTCTCTCCTCCCTTAGGACTGACTACAAAGGACCAGATTTCATTATCAAGGAAATTATTTTTAGAAGAACTTTCTGTTCTGTAGCCTTTTTCCCCCAGCACCCCATTACATTTGGCAGAGTATTTTCATCATTTAAATTGTCATGCTTAGCTTCTTTTTGCCTGTGGACATTACTTTGGAAAACCAAGTGATGTTTTTGATTCACTTGTTTATTCCTCCAAACAAAACTTCCTTGAGGGGCTCCTATATGTTGGGCTCCAATGTAGGCCCTCGGGTGGGAACAAAGACAAGACCCAAATGGTTATCAGCATTTTAAAGCCCACCCTACAGGAGGATTGTGGTTATTGCTATGATGGGTAATGTTATAACAGCACACTACATTTGACTAGGACTTTACAGTTTACAAAAGGCTTTCACAGGCATTATCTCCTTTAATCCCAGCAGCAGGAATTTTAAATAGCAAGGATTCCACCAAAATGCCCAGTAATGCTCACCAATCCTGCTTAACCAAAAAGAAAAAGAATCTTACAAATCATCCCAACAGCTGATAGAGCTTTAAAACACAGAATAAACAATTCATAAGAAGCTTAGGAAGCTTAGTTACTGGAATGTAACTTGGAGAAGATAACTGAAATACATGTAACGTGTATATTACCAGGAAGGCAGCCTGGGAAGAAACTCCATCTCTCCAGTGAACTGCTGGAGGTGGAGGCTTTCCAGGGCTCTGAACTGTTGCCTTATCCGAGGATCTAAAATGGGATGAAAGTGTTAGCACAAAGTTTCTGGGAGACTAGCAAATTAAGCAAAATGAGTAGGCAATGATGTTACTTTCTTTAGCTACAAAGCATTCTTGAGATATCCACAAGTTTCTAGCATATATTTACTTGAGAAATGAAGCAATTTTCTGTACTTAGAGTATAAAAAAATGAGTTTGTGTCCCTTGTCTGAGCTGTAATGAAGACAATCAAGGTTTTGATCATTTTTGAAATGATCACTTTGAAAACCAGGCATATCTCATGTGGATAAATGGCTATTTCTTTCTTTTTTTATAATTTATAGGGAGGATATACAGAAGGGCTTCATGTAGATTTGCTTTTTTTCTAGACTTCCTGAACAGGGAGGGCAGCCCTTCTGATTTCTCAGCTGTGAATATGATTGGTGACTTTCCCCCAGAAATGATTTTTATAACGCCCACTGATAG